ATGGGACGGGTTTTAAAGCAACTACCATGTCGCCATTGCAGGAACACATATCAGTCGTGCAAAGCATGCCGCGCATTAACCGTACGTTAACTACGAAAAGACCGACCATCGTGTACGCCACGACGACGGAATCGTCGACCAGACCGTCAGTGGTACAGTCGATTCCTCGAACGAGGAAGACAACTACGAGTACAACCACGACGACCACAAGCACCACCACTACAGAGACACCGAAGACGATATTCGGACACTACTTAAAGGGTACAGCGAAGAACAGGCCGCGCCTAGTCATCAATGGCCAGCAGAGACCGATCGTCATAGAGGAAGATATCGAAGACGAAGATTCGCAAATTAATCGACCCAGTACGGATGACAAGAGTGGTGCTTATCGAAAGATCATTTTTGCCAAGCGACCGATTGAACACAGTCTCCCGCCGATCTCTGAGGATTTCGTAGAGAAGGAAGATGAGGTCAAAATCACGACGGGGAACAACTTGAGGAGGCAATTGCACGACGAGACAACCAAATCGAATTCTGATAACGACGAACATTCCGACGTTTATGGCGGTTCATTGTCTACGACGCGTCCTTTGTTCACCACGACATCTCCATCGCGAATTCTCCAGAGGGTTTCTACTACTTCGCGCACAGAACGCCCGAAATTCTATGTCAATCGTCAAGATAATCTAGGAGCGGGTGGTCGATTCGACAGTCCGAAGTATGAAGGTTCTCGGGTCTACGAGACTGAGAAACCCCCCCAAGAGGAGCGTACGTCGACTCAGCAGACCTTACTTCACGGTTCTACAACCAGGGTACCAGCAGATATTCGGGACTATGTCAGACAGAACACCGAGCCTGTCTTCATGAGACAACAGCCCGAGCAGTATCTGCGAGAATTACCGCCCAGGATACTCGTTCCGTCCCAACCGGGCAATCTCGAGGAAGAGGGAGGCGTCTATAGAGCAATACCAATCAATAGGATCTTGTTAAGGCCTCCGTCGAATCATCAGCCGGTTTACTCGAGCACGACAGATGCCAACGTTCATTACCTGACGGAGACTCCCATACCCGATCCCGAAGATGAGGCGCGAATCGCAATAAACATGAACTATATGCGTCCACGTCCTATACGACCGCTGATATATTCGGACGCCGACCAAAGAGCACGGCCGATCCTACGACCGATTCCAAATGCGATAGTTCATCCTGATGACAGAGACTATCAAGCAACCACGCCCGAGACTGTATATCCTTACCGGACTGGCGCACTACCGCTGCCTCCAGAGCCACCGAATCCGATCGCACCGCCTCTGAGTCGACGAGACTTCCAGATGTTGCTAAGGAGGCTATTGGTAAGCCAATATGGCGTACAAGCTCTATCATACCCAAAGAGCTTCCTCGAAGATGCTTTATATGATCAGCAGCCATATCCTTCGTATCCAGCGGGCTTTCAGGCGCCGCTTCCAAGACCCGAACTCGCGTATGATCAGCAAGCGCAATATGGTGAGCGAGTGTCCCTGAGACGTCCGGTATATCCTCGGGCTCTAAGCCCGCTCTATCATCCCCAGTATGACGAGTACCATGACAGATATCCCAAGAGAGTGTATAGGCAGAAATTTTACACACATAATGTAGACGAAAATGACGAGATCCTACCAGCGCCTATTAGGGAAGCTTTGTTGCTGCGAATGGTAAATCTAGCGATCAACACTGAACGGTCAACGACCGTTCCGATGACCACCACGACACCGGCATCGAGATATAGAAAGACAGGCCCAGTCAGAAGCGTGCAGATCATTACGGACGATGAGGAGGAGGAAAAGGACACGAGGAAAAAGATGTAATGAGTGGGTTAGAAGTAGTTAGGAATTACGAAAAAGTATTACTTATTGCAAGTACGTAAAACGAGTTAAATTATTGTAGAATTTTAACTAATTGTTATGACTTTTTTATAAGATGAAAGAACCTTGACGAAAGTTAACGAATTTGCTTCCAACAAATAATTTTTAGACATGTAATTTTTACTATTACTAATTATCCTGGAACGGTATCAAATTCTCACGATAGCATATTTAAGCATGACGAAGGGACTTACATCAACGGCAACCTTTTTTTTGTAGTGAACGAACGGATATGTCCATCAGCGTGTAAGGATCAATGTCTTACACGCAACGGACGCATTCGTGTCGTTAATGAATCGAATCATTTCGCGAAAGGGAAATCGTTGCTGCGCAGCCCGACCGATTTTCTGCACGATAGCTTGCCAACATTTGTCGACGCATATTTATGTGCTTTAGAATAGATGCATCAGTCTACGACCGACTAAATAATAGTTAGATAATTAAATTTCTTTTCTAAGCAAAGATATTTTATTTTCTCATATACTTATCTTACAGGTATCGCATAAAATTTTTTTCACGCTGCTGAGATTTGCGTATAAATTATAATGTTGTTTAAAATTAATAACGAGGAAAGAATGTTGAAATAACAAAATCACCAGTGAATAGATGACAGTTTTAATTTGTAATGATTATATTTTACGATAACTAGTGTAATTATTATCCGCGACTTTGAAAGATATATTCTTATTCCTTATATCTGTTTCTACCAATGTACATTAATTTTATATTTGATTTAACTTAATCTTTATTTTTTTTTCTAATTCTTAGAACCAAAATAAAATGAAAAGTTAAATCAAGATTAAAGTTAATCTACTTGTGTTTTTCTTACCAATGTAGTTTTATTTTAATTTTGTCCGACTAACTTCATTTTTTTCTAGTTCTAAGAATTAAAGTTAATTTACATTGAAAATAGACATTGATAAAAAGACATTAGTCTCTTAGAAATCGAGCAAATACATTGGGCATTTATTATCAGCAGTCACTGGTGCATCTATCTTAAGCGATTATTTAAAAGAAATCTCTTCTATGAGAAGTACCCTCTGTTAAAACGCACCAGACAATACTAGCGAAAGTTTTAGATCCTAAGGCATCTTTAACATGCTCCCTGCTTACGACTGTAAATACGATGTTACATAAGAGACTAGTGTGATATATACACATGGAAATAAAGAAAGAGTCGGACAGTAGACTTTGAGACATTGTGTGAGAACTCATTTCATAAGTCCCTGAGAGTCGGCATTACTAGGAAAGAATAGTAACGCGTCTACTGTCGGTAATTAGCGTCGCGCATTGCGACATTCCTGCCCGGTCGGGTCTAGCCCCGCGGCAAGCTTACGCACGAATATGCGGCCGAGGGAGTAGATCATGAGATCTCGCGCGTGATTTCCACGCATTCGGAAAGCCTGTTGTCTGCGAGCGAATTTCTTTGTCGAAAAAAGCGTTATGCGCGACACACGATGCAGATATCTCACGCGTTTATACAAACAACACGTGAGAAACGGAACAATCACCGCTCGGTGAACGTTCGATTTGCACAAGTGGCAACGCAACAAAAGACGAATCAACTGGATAATTAAAAATATTAAAATGATTCATTAATGGTCATGTAAATTATTAATTAATTTATAGATGAAATGAATTAAAAATTACTTTAATTCACTTTGTCTCACAAAGCTAAAGTTATTTGAAATTTTGATAAATCATATCAGATTAGAGACTGAGATTGAGATTGAATTTAATCAATCAAAGCAAAGCTCACTAACTAATGTAAATTCTGTTTCTTCCGATTGGTTAAATTCTCTCAATTTTAATCTCTAGTCTGAACGGGCTATTAGATATTGTCAATTATTGGATTATCGGATTATCTTAATTATGGGTGCAAGTAATTTTATTGACATCTCAGAAAAAGAAATTAAATAAGCTTATTCTAAAATTTCAAAAATTTTTGTTTGTCCAAAGTACAAAAGTATACGTGTGTCAGTTACTGATAAATGAAGTAAAACATGTACATGCAAGTAATCGCAATGCCAATATTGACTCAACGTTCTGCTTAAGAATGTCGATCGATTGAGTTTCCGGTGTGAAAAGCAACGTTCGAAATAATTTTTAATTCACAACGAGTGGCAGGCTATTTTCCGCGGAAATCTAAAGAGTGCAATTCTGATTTTTCCACGCGTGCCGGATATGCACGCTTGCATTTGAAAGGCCGTCGTTAGGACACAGGCGAGGACACTCGCCAGCACGGATAGTGAGTCTTGCACACGTCTTCCGGTATTCCGGTATTGCATGCACCAGTTACAATGGCGTAGACGCATTTTTACAATGGAATCAACACTAATAGGAATACGCGGATCTGTAAGACCGTGTATTACCTAATTAAAGCGTCCACCGTATCCGCCGCACTGGTGTGTCTCTCACTCTTACTCCAGAGATAGAAAGTCGTCGTGGAGAGTACATGGTGTCTCACAGAAATGGGTATAATGCATAGATTTGTATGCTAGGAAATAACGCGAGCGAAGAAAATCACGAGGTATCCCGATGAGGCGAAACTGTTTCAACAACAATAGTCGAAAGCGAATAATCTGAGACAAAAGCGACGCTTACCTGACATTTGTCCTGTCATGCCCCTCGAGTTTCCAATGCGCGTTGACATTTTTATCAGCTATCGACTTTCTACGAATCAAATTATATCACTCCGCGGATCTACCTGTTATTATTCATTGTCTCACAACGATTTTATCTAGAGCGGCCTCGGTTGTTCAAATTGTGTTTCGCGAAATTTAACAACAATTCGTAATAGCAACTTTAATCTTCTACAAGAAGCAGATCTTGATAAAAAATTAGATACTCAGTTTTTCAATTTTTGTCATTGTAATATTCTTCGAACATTCTATCGTTATCATATAAACTTTTATTCTTATTCTTAAATACGTTTATTCTTATATACATTTATCGTATTAATGTGCATTTGTAATATATGTTTACTGTACATCGTTTTTCTTATCGTAATAATCCGGGGGGGGAGGGGGGATAGAATATCCTTGGCGCAATATGAGGCATGAAAATAGCACAGATAATCGGCACAAGGGCACTCGCAATTTAATTGGAGGCCACCGAGATCTTCGAGTGAATGGATGAAGAGCGGGGTACGTTCTTCAAACTCTCGATGTCGTCCTCGAGCGAATAGGGCACGAAGGGCTCGGTCTGCACGCCCACGTCTTCGTGATCGAGTTCCAACGCGTCTTGCTCGTAAATTACGTCGTGACTCCGCGGTCTCGCCACAGATGGGATCCACGGTTGCGGAACGCCTTTGCCGAGAGCCAGAAAAACCGCAGCGGTCGTCAGTAAGACAACAGAAGCAACACCGAACACCAATCGCCAAGAACCAGCGATCTAAAACGGATGAACATCGCAAACACGAATTAAAATTTAAAATCAAATTAAAAATAAAAAAATTTTTGTCAGCCGTAGAGAATTACAATCATATTAGAATTTCTATGCAATCTCCTAATTATTATTTGAGGAATGGCGCAATAAAGTTGTTCATCTCTCAATATTTATATCTAAATTAATCTATAAAAATGTATACAATAAAATGTAAAAAAAAAATAGAAAAATATTCTTCTTTTACTTTAAATACGAAGCGCCACTATGTCTGAATATTAAGATATGTGTTAAACTATTATATATATTCATATAAATAAATTAATTTCAGAAATATATGATAATTGCATGTCGATTGTCGAACTTTCACAATCAATCTGAAATATTAATAATCCCCTTCGTATTTAAAATAATGTATTTAACATAAATGATCTTGTTTCTAATCTTATTGTTTATACACGCTCGCTTACAATGCGTAACTCTTTATATATATATATCGGTTATTGCGAGAAATATTGCTCTCGGTAATCTAAAGGCTTAGGACGGAATGCAAGAAATCCGGGTTCGACTCCCAGCCGAGGCAATATTTTTCGCAATAAGTTTATTACAGTTTTTTAAATTTGAGAAATTTAGGGGGATTATTAATATTTCAGATTGATTGCGTTGAAAGTCTGACAACCCTATCGGCACGCAATTATTATTTCTGAAATTAATTTATTTATATAAATATATAAATAATAGCTCAACATCTTAACATTCAGACCGTAGTGGCGCTTCATATTTAAAATAATGTATTTAACATAAACGGTCTTGTTTCCAATCTTATTATTCTTCTTTTATTTTAAATTAAAAATATTAAATATATTACGCGAATATATTATATTCTTATTTAAAACAATGTGCAATTAGGCACAAAATAATTAATAACTATTTAAGTGAAAAGCAACGAGGGACGACTCATGCAAAACATAGAAAGTAGAAGGAAAGACTCGTCGCTAAATCCTTGTTATGTAATCCAACATTTAATCGTACATTCGCGGATGTACGAAGATATTTAATGCGTTATTATGTTTGCGCGGGCGGATAATGCGCATGCCTGCGTGATAGTAATTTGACTTACGGAGCCATGAAGAGCCTGAGTGACGAAGTAATTGGCGGCCAGCAGTCCCGCGGCGCCCAGCGTGGAGCAAAGAGCGCACGCGGCCGCGGCGCACGCCGGTGACTCCGCAGGTGCGAGATCAGCTATGGCTGCGAGTGCACCGGCTGGTGCGGTGCCAGAAACAAGGAGGGCTGCTATCCCTAGCCAGGCAGCACCCAGGGCCTGGCAGCCAGCGTAACCAGCGACGAAGAGAAGGGCCGCGGGGATGAAGTGCGCTAATCGCATTTCAATTTCGATATTACTAGGAATAACTAACAAGGGAATCTCTCGCAGAATGTCAAATTCTGATTTTAATGAAACTTTATGTGCATATGAATTACGTAAATATATTTAGAAAATATCAACTGAAACCAGTTTTTATGAAACCATCTCTTATATGTAAAATAGTTTTCAATTTTTTTTGTTAATTATCAAAAATTATTTGAATGTAAAAAAATATTTTATATTAAGTGTGGGAAAAAGTTCGTGGCGTTTTTTTAATGCCATCTAACGGGAAAAACGCCACGACAAACTTTTTCCCATATCTAATACAATATTTTTATAATAATATTTCCTCTATTTATCTACGTCACATTTTTAAAAAATAATTTTTTCCAAAATCTATATTTACAAAATTATTTTTAAAAAATATTATTGTTGTACCTAAATAAAGATAAGTTAATAGAAAATCTTCATATAGAACATTTTTTATATCTTAAATAGTTTTTGAGATATAATAAAAAAGCTGAAAACTACTTTAAATGTGAAGAGTGATTTCATCTTTTAAACCGTTTATTAACTGCAACTGATACTTTCATCTACTTACGTAACCAATATGTATACAGTTTCATTAAAATTAAGTTTCATTAAAATTAAAATTTGACACTTCAAGCAATTCCCTTATAAGCAGAGTCAGAGAGACGTCGAGAAAATATTCTTGTTATATACGTGGGATAAAATCTTTAGTTCATTACTCAACATGTCTGAGACTTTCCATCTTCAATTATCGTAATGAGATCTCATAAGCTATTACTCTCACAATCAGAGCAAGGTAACGCCAACAATCAGTTCACCTCGCAGCAGAAATGAGTAATCTATAACGCATTAATATTGCGTATTTTCCTACAACAATATTGCTGAATTTCAATATTGTTAAATTTTCATGTTACACATTTTTTATAATTCAAAATTCATTTTTCATTGAGAATTTGCAAAAAATATAAGAAACGAAAATTACTTCTTTTTATATCAATTAATTCTACTGTATGTACTTTACATAAATTTACTCTACTTAGAGTTGAGAGTGAAAATGACTAAGTGGCCAAAATTCTTGCACGAGTTTCATAATAATATCAGTATATTTAAAAACAATAGATTCATTCTGTGTCGACATCTGTCAGTCATGTTATCTGTGTGCGAACAAGCTATAAGAGCAAAGTGTTTTAATCTTATTGATTTTCTAGATCCAATCATAAACTTAAGTCATATAAATGTGATAACTTTATTAGAATAGAAAAAATTAATTGGCGAATATTGTAATCGTCATCTTGCAAACTATGTGAGTTACGCATACGCAAAAATATTAAGTGGCTCCAAAATTAGAAAAGTGAACTTACTATTTTTATTTATATTGTAGTATTGTAGACGTAATATTGGAAATACACAGAACGCACCTGTATAGACGACCAACTTTCTCGCCGTGGTCGTGGAAACTATTTTAGATTCGCGGACGTGATCTACTAGGAGGCCGCAGGTCAGCGCAGCCATGAAGTGACCGATGTGAGGTAACGTGGTCAACACTGAGTCCTGAATTGAATTACAATTTAATAACGAGGTGAGATTGCGAGACCTACGAGGCTCACAACTATCTCCGTATTAGGATATTTGGATATTAAATATTGTATCCTAACATGTAATATAAAATTTATATGTGATAATAAGTGAGAATCGATCGATGTGACATATGAAGAAACTTTTATTTAATTAAAACAGATTGTAGTGCCTAATAATATCATTTTTTTTGCCTGAACTTATAATTTTTGAATTTTAAAATTTATATCTTTTTTGTTTTAATATTTCGCGCGGTTTTTTCATTTGAATATTTATGGAATGTTTTTAATGTTAATATAAAATAAAAACAATCTCAGCCAACTTACGTTAGCTGTAGAAAATCCATAGATAAGCTTCAGGTACTTCGTCATGCCAAGTGCGAGTGTCGCGTCACCCCACTGATTACCCATCGTCGCCACTGCGGATGCCCAAACGGGTACAGATCTCAGCAACTTTCCCCATGGTATCACAGCCGCCTGTGATAATTAATAATCTCGTAGTTACATTTTAAAAAAAGTCTAATAGGTTACGTACATACATGTAGTAAATCTTAAGTAATCTGGTAAGTCAATGTTACCCGTCGTACGACAGGTTGTCATAGGTACTAATTAGCGAATGGAAAATTTTTAGAGACTATACAGAAGTTTTCAACTCTTATCAGACTACTAATTAGCACGTTCAATTATTTTAATAACTTCCGAGAGTGTTGTGAATACTAGCTAAATAGATCGGAAGTGTCGCTTACAGTTGTATCATGTTGATAGGACTTTGGCGTGTCCTTAACAAATCGGCCGAAGGCGAAATACCAGCAGAGTGCCAAAAGAACCAGACCGTAACACAAAGAATCGCGACCGAACGTTCGCACCACCGCGGTGCCCAGCCATCCAGTGAGGCAGTAACCCACGCTGACAGCTTAAAGCATGGGAATTAGGATTAGTCGAGTAATTTGGATCATGTAGACTGATTGTTAGTGAACACTCATTGTCAGTGAAGAATATTTTTAGAAGTATCTTACAAATTAAAGAGCATGCTTGTAATATGTTGTAGAACAATAATGCACAATTTGCAGTCCCGTGGATTTTTTGTGCCTCATCGACATGTAATCGAAAAAACTTAAAATCATATTTTTTATTTTATACAAATCTGTTTTTACAAAACATTATAATGAATGACTCGGAGAATTCTTTATTCTTTTTATTTATCATTTAAACGATATCGTATATTCGCAATTCTTAATATACCTGCATAACAACTAAAGTACCAGCTTCTATGATTGCTCTTAAACCAGGTCATAGCGAACATGTGAGCAGCAGGCATGGTTGCGCCCTGCAAAAGAGGATGTCGTAATGATTCTCGCGCGAATGTTTTATATCGTCGTGTTTTACGGTGCTACGCAAAATCGAGTTCACGTCATTGCGAAGCGCTTGGAAATGGCAGTAATAAAGTCTATGCGCGCCGACTTACGGTGCATAATCCTTGAAACAACCGAAGCGCGACATGCGACGGTCCACGCCAGGCTGCAGGTACTAATAGAGACGCTAAACAGGCGCTAAGAACTGCACGTGAGAATACCATGGAGGGCCCTGATCGGCCCCACACCAGGCAACCTCCCAGGATCGGACCGGCGACTTGTCCCCATAAGAACGCCTCGCGCATAATCGATTCCGCTCGCTCCTCCTGTGGCAGCTGTCGTTCATAACATGGATTATTAATGTTATTCTGCAACGTAACAGTTGCAAAGCAACTGTTCTTTAGTGTAATATATATATTTACTTCTTGGAATAACTTGAAAAGACGTTAACTTAATCATTAATTATTAATGCAAAACAAAGCGCTATCACATCAATCTCGTTTAGTTTGTATTAACGAATAAAAATTTGTTAGATAAATAAAAGGAAGTACCACATTTACCACTAATATAAGGCAAAATATTTAGGTATATGTATACCTCCATAAATATAATTTCGAAGTCTTCGGTGCGATTGCGGCTGGTGATATTGACCAGCATATCGCAGTGCCAAGATGTATCGATGATGGCATGATTGTCTTTCTGATTCGCTAGCAGTGCGACGGAGGAGCTGACTTCGACTGCGCCGCAAAGCGCAAATCCAACAGCGACTAGACCAGCAACGATGTGTCGCGCTCGTACAGCCGCTAACAAATAGCAATGTAATTACATGATAATCGTAATAATCGCGACCAATTTGATCAAATTATCGATAAAAAAAATCACTAAAAACTTGCAAATAATTTCATAATCAATAAAGATCAAATAATCATTAAAAGATTAATCATATCGCGTTGTTGATAAAAATCTCATGAATATTTTAATAATATCAAATTGTCTCAGTAAAATCAAGAAAATGAATCAAATAATTTTTTATTGGATCGTGTGACTTATTTTATAAATATTTATCCAAGAATTTTATCGTTGTTTATTACTGAAGAAGGCCTAATCGAGGCCGAAATGTCTATTATATTTATATATATATATCAGAATAAAATATTATCTCGCTAACTAAATCTTGCGTTGTGGCACATGCCCTTTATTTGATTAATTTGAATTATAAGCCACTTGAATTCTTTATTGTGAATTTTTTATTTACTGTCGAGGGAATTATTTAATAAAAAAATTATTGAATAGAACGGTAGATATGCATTATTAATTATATTGCGCAGAGCTAAGATTTTACATTTTTGACAGAAATCTCTATCATTCAAATTATAATAGTAACAAAAGAAATTTTCATATGTGTATATGTACATTCATTATCACAGTCTCCAAACATCGGAGTACAGCAATGTTGTTTGATTTTGATAACTTACTCAAACGACTGGCACGATAATATCTTGCGTATAAATTCTAAAAGGTACTTATGTCAATTAGCTTTTTATGGATAAAAATAATATTTGTAAAATTACAAAACACACAAACATTAATTATAACATTTCGATAATATTAGATTGTAGATTAATATATAAACTCATATATCACGGTCAAAATATTAACTATAACGCAACTGTCAAAAGATAATAAATATGGATGAAGTTACTTAAAGTTTGGCCGCGCGACAACGCGAAATAAAATTAGATCTCACGCGCACGATGTAAGAAATAAAATTAGTTACAGTGATTAGAATTTTGACGAACCTCGAACCTCTTGCGCAGCGAGTTTTAGTTGACAACTGCCACGTTTAACGAACTGCACGCTACCTCTCTTGACGAAGTCTGCCATCTCACAGAACCCAAAAATAATGAGATCGACCGCGACATCTCGCTCTTATCACGCCCCAGTGTTTGATTCTTCGCGCACTATCTCTCCACTACTCCGAGTGTACAGGTGACCTCGACTTTGGCTCGGCAATGATGAAACGCAAATAGCTGACTTTTTGACAAGACAATGAACGCGTAACGCTATTAATTCAATAGTGTTAATCTAAGAAATAGTGATTTGTATGCTTCTGCTGATCCTAATATTAGTTCGTTTCATGCGAACAGATAAATACGTAACCGGAGCGAGTAATAATGTTACTAATAAGTGTAGGATGCTGACACCAAATTTATAATTTATAACTAAAATTAAATGTATAGTAATCTTAAGATCTTTAATATGGAAAAATTAATTTCATATTAATCGAAGATTCTGACTAAAGATTACGCCATCGTTTCACGATACATTGTATGAATAATTGATAAGTTATTCACTTCCTTTAACTAGACAGACGTAAAATCGTTTTGCGTCGTAAATTGTTTATTAATAGTCTACGTAATCATAGCGCAATAATAATGCATTAAGAATTCCGGAAATCCGTTGCCAAAGGAAGTCGATTGAGGGCACAACGTACCTTTGACCTCGAGTGCCGCGTGTCTCAACTGGACGCTACCGCGTTTAAGACGAACCAGCGCTGCCATCGTCGTCAAACGTGCTGACACATCGATTGCGTTTCCATGATGTAGGACCGATACTTTAGGCACATATCATCGACAAGTCCATTATTGATCTTTTCGATCACTTTGCTATCGCGCAATACGAGGTTGATAGGACGCGACAGCGGTGATGAGTTACGCGAACCATACTGGTCATCTGGCCGATGCGAGTGAATGAACATCTCCGTTAACGAGACTTGATACAATAAGTACCTATGCCGGATCAGCCTTGAAGCACCGCGCGCGAGGTCCGCCTCGTAATATTTTCCCCACGTCGGAGTCGCCAAGCGATATATTAAACTTCATCACTGATAAAGATCTTCAAACGCAACTGTTGGTTTTTCCCTCGCTTTATCACAATGATCATGACACGTGATTTAGTAATAAATATTAATAATTAATATACAGTATTATTATGCATGAACGTCATTGTGATGCTAATGGAGCAAAAAATATTTCTGGATTCTTGTATTATTGATAAATTTAAAAAATATTATAATGTTCACATCTCTCTCTCTCTCTCTCTCTCTCTCTCTTTCTCTCTCTCTCTCTCAATCTGCCAATAAATAAAATAATATTTCACAATCTTATAATATTGATAAATACAATCATCAAAATTGCATTTTATTTTTCTTCAAGAGTCATTGATGAAAAAAAAATTTTAAATATCTCTTATTAAACACAAAAGTGCTATATATTTTTCCTACTTTCGAATAATGTAATTTAATGTGAGAGATTCTATCAGTAAATGGCAACAAAGGAAACTTCATTAATAGTTTCAACTTTAAATATTCACATTGTGAACCTAATAAAACACTGTTCATTTAATGATAATGTTTTAGAATATTGAATCATCTACCATCCGTCGTTCATGAATGTAGTTCTATATTACCAACGACTAATCAGTATAGACTGACTGTTGTTCAAACAAATCTGGAGCAGTAATCTTATTCTAAATTCCAGCAGACATTTGAATTTTATAGTTAAATGTGAACCTAAATATTTCATTTGTCAATATTTCTAAATGTCAAATGATCCAATGTTTATTGTGGATGGACAAGGTTCTACGTTACCAACAACCAAATCGAGTTAACAGGCTACTGTTCAAATAAACCTGGAGTCTCTTATGAATTGATCTTATTCCAGCAGGTCGCGCGGCAGGTGGTTGGGTCCCTTCTCCTGCGCCTGCCATCAGCAGGGAGTCAGGGACTGCTGGGACAGCGGGATGCCACCTGCGCGATGATTGGTCAGTTTGCAGGCAGGTCAAAACGGCAACACATCGCTCGATCGGCGTCTGCCACACTTGTCTGCCGCTTCGAAGCGGAGCGCGCGATCCTTACGGTCTGGTATTTTTCTTGTCTAATTCGCGGCGATCAGTATGCACATGTGTAAGAGATTGTTCATTCCAACGACGTTGGAATAGTACATAATTTCGAAAAATAGGAGAACACAAACGACGTGATAATCCAAACAAGATCGAGATAGAATCTGTATAGCGAATTCCGGAGTCACACTTGTACCGAGCATTGCTTTTCAAACGAATACAAGATGACGCAGCGCGCAGGGCGCCCGGGTATTTTGACATTTGTGACATATAGTTATATTTTATTACTGTGATATCAACGATAGTGCTTTGGGAATTCGCAAACGACAGTGTTCGTGACGGTGAATGACGAGAAAAGTATCATCTGAGAGCAGCGCGGCACAAACGAGCAACGAGGTAAGTGGAGTCCGTTTTGGTTGCGTTTTGACCGTTTGCTTTGAGAGGTTAAGTTGGGTGCCCTGCTGGGGTCCCGCGATACCACCTCCCCCAATCCCTTCCCGTTTCCTCTCCGGCCCCTCATCCCGCTAGCCGCGAATGGTCCGACACGGACAATACGGTCCTCTGGAGCAACTAGCGAAGGGCATCCGGGTCCATTCCGACCAAAAGATCCTTTGAATGGAATGCGTACCGGCGTATCTCCTTCATCCCCGCTCCTTCTTCTATATCTACTCATCCAGATTCTTGTTCATCTCGTATTCTCATCCATTTCACTTTCACCGTCGTTCTTTTTAAATTTTCAACTTCTTCAGTCTATTTTCGAACTAGACTTGGTGTTGATATAGAAAGACTTGCAATTACTAATGAGCGCCTCCTCCTTTGTTTCATCAATATTATCCTATTATGTATCGTGAAAATGATTCCCACTATCTACTGCAATACAATTAGAATTACTCTCATCATTACTCTCTTCGCTATCGCTACAATTCTTTTTGTACTCTCACTTTGATAATTACGCAGTAGATATCTATCTTCGTTTTATCTTACATCACTCTCTACTTATCGTAAAAAATGATTGCGATACGAGAAAAGTAATAATTATTATGACTGTATATATCCGCCAATATATTTTATTGGTGGATCATATTTAAAGAACTTGTATATTGAACCATAATAAAATTTCCCTTTTCCCTATCTCTTTTTGCCCGTTTTCTCTTCTCTCCTCCTTCCGCGACCTTCCCTTTGGAATGTGCTTCTCGAGCGTTCAGACATATTTCTGATCATGGGATCATCCATAACAGGCTTTCGAATTTTCTTTCCTGTCACCTAGAAATACGAATGGTTTCATGCTCGTGCCATGCCAATTTTTGATTTTCAAAAATCAATAGTCATGATAGCAATTGTACAAAAATTAAACAAGTTTGTCCACCGTGTCAACTTAATAACATATTTCCAGGGAAGATTTACGAACTTTCTTTGTCATTCTTTTGCGCTGGTTTATATTAGAACTCTAAATACTGTTACTTATTCTTATGAACGTATAATAATTCTTAAAACTTGTCATTCATTGAAATAAATTTAACGTTATCAAATCATCTTTCTATCTCTTGGAATATGTAAGGAGCAGAATAATATTTTGAAATTAACATTATGAAAGATATTTCCAAAATATAATAGTATCGCTAAAATCAATTTATTTCTCAATATTATGATCTTATTATATTAATCAATGACAAATTTTAGTGCTTAATTAATATCTATCAACATTGACTCTAATTCTGAGTTACTACTTTATATTTTCGTATATATTTTATATGTAATAAATATTTTTCTCGTCTCTCTTTTAAGACTTCTCTTCTTCTTTCCTCCCCAGTATCATAAATAATTCGCAATATAAATCTAAATTTAAATATTGAAATTTCATATTATGAAATGTATTGTAATAGAAGATACCTCAATCTTATCTGCTCGTCCATCTTATCCATTTATTGCACAACGAATAAAAAAATTATATTAAATATAGTAAATTGCTAAACAATTTAATTTGTGATATACTATTGTAGTTCAATCGGTTTCAAAACCGTTTCAAAACCGAAAAATGAATTCGGCGCGCAATTTAAATGACTACATAGACAGTATATAAATTCACATAGAATTATTTAAGCACTTAAGAAGCACTTAAGACCATTAAAGACTTTCTTTCCTTTCTTGTATTATATTAAATATTCTTAATTTTCCGCGATATTCTGCCGCAATATAGCTCACGAAGGACGTTCCGTTTATATCCACACGTGTGTCTAAAATCTAAAGAATTTTTTATACTAACTAGCCGTAATCTGTTAATTTATGCCGTAATCTGTAAGAATTAACCAATCAAATGAGAGGGGAATACTCGATTGTGATTGGTCAATTCTTACAGATTACGGAATAAGTTGACAGTATAAATTCTTTAGACACAATTGAAAAGTACAAAAATAATGAATAACAGATTTCAACTTATCAAAAACCGTATTTTAGTACATATGATTTCTGATAGGTTGAAATCTGTTATTCCCCGTTTCTATTGCCTGTACCTTTCAATTGTGTCCTATGTGTCGCCTACAATATATGGAGTAAGAAGTAAGAGTAAGAAATTGATCAATCACAGTCGATTATTCTTCTCACATTCGATTGTGATTGGTCAATTTCTTATTGTATTTCTTGTATTGTAGATAATACATTAGGCTTTAATCTACGCGTCGGAATCGGAACGGATCCGGACGAGGTAACCGGAGCAATTTCGGCATGCGGTACCTTTACGCGCGTCATATGTCGGTATATAAACGTGCTTTGAAAATCACGCACAAATACCGTTGCACTTAAGGTCGTTCACTTACGTATCTACTGAATGCGATTCAGCGCAGGAGTAGCTACTGGTGTTTTGTGCGCGACACGAATCGCAGAAGAAAATAAATATGTGTCTTTCCGGTGTGTATCGTATTACGACGCTTCTCTTGCTCACCAGACGATGACATTTTGGTCAAAGCTCGTATATACGATTTCAAGAAGCTGAAGTTTAGAACAGAGTTAATTATAAGCTAATTACAAGCAGCTCTAATTATAAGAACTTGACACGATTCTGCGATATAATCTTTACGTGATATCTCGATTCAATTGTTGACCATCACGTTTTGAGCGCGTATGTGCTTCAAGAAAAACCGTTGCTTATCAGTTATTCGATTTGAACGTAAACATTTAGAAAATTGTGTCATTATGTCCGGCATGAGCTATGTTTTCTTCATAAAAAGAAATTATGACCCAAATAATACTTCTAATAATACTTGCTTTCGCTGCCTGAAATAATAGTAGACCTCTAACGGAAGAAGAAATCAGCTTCTGTCCTCAAATCCTAAGAAATATAAAATTGCTTAAAAACAGTATTGTGAATCTATTATAATAAAATTAATAATATCGATTCACGATTCTGTAATGTTCAAGTTTCGGTATTCATAAATAATTTAATTATACATACACGAAAAAAAATAACAATATTAGTCAATAACAATGTGATTAAAAATAATCTTATTTATTTTTAATAATAATATTAATAAAACAAATAATATTTTATTAAAACAAAAATATAGTGCATTTTTTCATTAATAATATCAATTAATTAACAAGATTATTTTCAATTAGACTGCTGTCAATTAATATTATTAATACCTCTTTTTTTTTAATTACGACCAATTCATTATAAAAATTACATTATTATTATATCTTGAACAATCTTGCAGAAATTTAATAAAAGAATCGCCATCTTACTCGCAATAGAATTACGTGTTGCATAGCAAATTATATAACTTTAATGTACAAATGGTTTAAAAAACAAGTATTGCAGATATCATTCCTTGAATATGTATTTATCAGTTACGTACGAAAAT